ATTCACCCGAACACCCCCGACGACGCGGCTGTACTTCTAGAACTTATGGCCACCTACGACATGGAATGCCGACTTCCTCCCGGTACCCCTACGTTTGAATCCGACGCGTGGCATACATGGTCGACTCTGGATCTGGTCCTCGCATCCCCGGAACTCATCGACATCATCACAACATGCGACTCATCCATGCTTGATCGTATTCCGCAGGCTGACCACCTTCCAATCCACACCACCCTCGACATACCTACCCGCCTTCGCGAGTCTACACCCCGCCGTAATTTCCGACTTGTCGACTGGAGCGACTTCCGACAGACCCTCCGTACCCAGCTCACCGACGCACGACACCATTCTCCCATTGCTACACGTCAAGATCTCGACAACGCTGTCCACCTCCTCACCTCTGCAATCCAAACTGCTATCGAGACGAATGTTCCCCTCACAACTGCATCACCCTATGCCAAGAGATGGTGGACGAAGGAGCTGTCTCAACTCCGAGCTGACTACGCACACAAGAGCCGCAAAGAGTATCGAGCGCGTGGATCCCCGGACTGGGATGTCTTCAACCAAGCCAAACGTACCGCGCACAACACGTACACGAGTGCGCTTCGAAACGCCAAATCACAACACTGGCGCGGATGGCTCGAAACGATGACAGAACAAGATGTCTGGACGGCGAACCGATATCTTAACCAACCCATATCGGACGGCAGTGCGACTCGCATCCCTACCCTCACGAAGACGGGCCACGATGGCAACAAGATCTTCGCTGAGACGAGCATTGAAAAATGCGCCATCCTCTCCGAAGTATTCTTTCCCAAATGCCCAGCGGTACTCCCCGACCACCCCTCCGATGCCGAGCCCCTCCCACATCCTCTCCCTTACACCCTGCCTACTCGATCACAACTCGAACGTCAGATAATGCGTACAAGCCCGTTCAAAGCATCTGGTCCTGACGGTGTGGCTAACATCGTCCTCCAACGTACATCTACCATCATCGGCGATCGCCTTCTCGAGATTCTCCATGCCTCCATCCGTCTACGCTACTACCCCAAACAATGGCGAATATGGGCTACCGTCGTCTTACGCAAACCTGGCCGAGCCGACTACTCCATCCCCAAGTCTTACCGACCTATTGCGTTATACAACACTATGGGCAAGGTAATCACGGCCGTCATAGCTGAACAGATGCTCCATATTCTTCAGAAACACGAACTCCTCCCGTCTCGCCAGTTTGGAGGTATCCCTGGCCGCTCCACTGTCGACTCCCTCTTGTACCTTACGCAACGCATCAAGGACGCCTGGCGCCAACGCAAAGTCGTCACGATCATCTTTCTCGATGTCGCCAACGCCTTCCCCAATGCCGTACCGACACGCCTTATCAAGAATATGCGCCGTCTTGGACTACCCACCGAGATTGTCGACTTCATCCAAGCCAAACTTGACGACAGATCGACTACACTCTCCTTCGATGGCTTCACCTCCGACCCCGTACCCATCGACAATGGCATTGGACAGGGTGATACTGACTCCATGCCTCTCTACAGCATCTACAACGGCCCGCTCATCACAGTACCCTCGGGACCCAAGCAAGACGGTGGAGGATTCGTCGACGATGCCTTCTACATGGCTATCGAGGACGACTTCGACAAATGTGATGACGAACTTGAGCGCATGCTCCGCGATGGACAAGAGGTATGGTCCTCTACTCACAACTCCCCTACAGAACGTGCAAAGTATGCATGCCTGCGTCTCACGCGCAAGAAGACAATGGCTCGACACGACTACGACCGAAGTGGTATTACGATCAAATGTGTCCCCCACGCGAAACTCCTCGGTGTCCACATCGACCAAGAACTCCGCTGGCATCACCACGTCGATACCGCCGTTGCCAAGGGCACCAAGCTCCTCCTCGCTGCGAAACGCCTCACTCGACCATCCTTCGGCCTTCCACCTCGGTACATCAGACGTATCTACACTTCCGTTGTCGTCCCACGAGTTGAATACGCCCTTCCGGTCTGGTACGAACCTACTCGAACTATCCCAGGACGCAAATTCCCCAAGGGTTCCACAGGATTTGCTAATCGCATCGGAAAGGTGCAACGACTTGCATGCCAAATGATTACAGGTGCCTTCCGATGTACCGCTACTGACGTTTTAGAACTCCACGCCAACATCAAGCCCATTGCCATACGCCTCAACTCCACCTGCTACCGAGAAGCTCTCCGACTAAGCTCTCTGCCACCCCAGCATCCCCTCTTCCGCTCTGTCAGGAAATGCGCCCGCCACTATCCCCGCTACCATCACTCGGCTATCCACGAACTTTTCCAGGCCTTCGGCCTCCGACCCGACGACATTGAACGTATCGACCCCGTCCGCCATCCCCCGCACTGGTCCCCTTCCTTCACCAGCCACGTAGCCGGCTCGAAAGACGAAGCTGCCGCCTACATCGCACGCGCATGGACGACCTCCAGATCTTCACTGATGGTTCTGGATACCAAGACCACATAGGCGCCGCTGCGACTGCCTTCAGCTCCCCCACACGTCCCTCTCTCCGCTATCAGCTCGGCTCCGATAAGGAACACACCGTCTTTGAAGGTGAAATTACCGGTGTCCTCCTCGCCACACAACTCGCTCGTAACGCCCTCCGCCTCCGATGCCATCGCATCCGCACTGTCCTCATCGCCCTCGACAACCAACCCGTCATCTCCGCGCTCAATGCTAATCGTCGCCAACCAGGACAGTACCTCCTCGACGAAGTACACAAAGCACTCCAGAAACTACATACGGACTACCCCCGGACTCACATCCACATCGCCTGGACACCGGGTCACCATGACATCCCTGGGAATGAGCACGTCGATCTCGAAGCCAAGAGCGCTGCCGAAGGCCACTCCTCGCCCTCTGACACCCTCCCATCTCTCCTACATTCCCCCCTACCGAAGAGTGTTGCCGCGCTTCGAGCGCATCGTACGAAATCCGACCGTCTCCGGTGGGTTGACCTGTGGAAGACCTCGCCCCGTCATGCGAAGATCTTCCGCATTGATCCCGACCTACCCAACAACCGTACATTCAAGGTCCTGTCCTCCCTCAGTCGCCAGGGAGCCAGTCTCGTCGTCCAACTACGATCAGGTGCAGTAGGTCTCAATGCCTTTCTCAAGAAGATCAAACAGGCCCCGAACGCGCTCTGCCAACTGTGTCGCGAACCCGAGACTGTCCCTCACTTCCTATTCTTCTGCCGCCGTTTCCGCGAGCAACGCCTGAAGCTCAAACGCGCCCTTGGTCGTAAAGCCAACACTACCCGCGAGGTCCTCGGGAACCCGAAGAATTTTCATCCCCTCGTTCACTACGCGTTGTCCACCAATCGCTTCACGCATTACCTGGAACGTTTCAAAGATCAGCACGACCGTTGATCCTACCCCCGCCCCGCTGACGGCCCTTCGTCGCTCGCCGTCTCCGCCCGCTACCTCGGGCCTGCATTCCAGTCTTTCCGCACCGACCTTACCGGCTCCCCACCCTACTTACATACTGTGACATACAATCATTTCCCGGACATGTGTATGTGCTCGCCACCCTCAGAGGCTCGGGGAGTTTTGACGGGAGGTGGAGGACCACCGACCGGCTTCCTCCATCGCAAGAGGCCAGAGAGCCCACGATCGCACCGATCGCAAAGGATGGCAGGTTTAGATCCGAGTTCTCTTGTGTTTAATCACCGGAGGCCCTGACGAGCACACACACATGCCCATGCACATTTAGCCACCATACATACTGTTTACCTACTGTACATGGGTGGCCCGACCCCTCCATACCGTAGTCACCATCGTAGCACGCGCACCATGAGCGCTTCCGCGCTCGAAGCGCTAATTGACTTCATCATCATCATCATCAAGGGGCGTATGGAACACCATAGAGGGTACGTCTTCACGCAGCCCACTCAACCACGCCCGTTCACACCCTGTTCAGGTGCGGGCGACAGTCTCCGCGGCGGCGCAATGGACTTTGCCGATTCAGCTACCGGCACCGGCGCCCGCCACCCCGAGACGGACGTCGGTGCCCAGAAGGCCCACACCGGTGTCGCCCAGATGAAAGGCGGCGACGCGTATCGGAGCAACTCCACCGGAGCGGGTCACGACTCCACCAAGGCCCACACCGCGTCTTCCGCCAATCCACCCCCGCTGCCCGCTCGAGGTCCCAGCAACGACGCCTAGAATGCGAGCAGTGGGATGTCGATCGCAGCAGTCCAGTATAACATGTAGTTGTTCCCTCATACCATACACTGTCCCACCGGGACCATAGTATCTACCGCCCAGCGTACTGTATCACATCAGAATTCATGCATGCGAGACATGGCGCCCTGCTTGCTCTCCCGCACCCAGCAACCCCACCACGACCCCCGCGCTCTCCTGTATGCGTTTGTGACGCTCGTACAGCATCTGCACCGCATGCGCCGTCTCCGCCACCATTTGCTCCTCCCGCACGTCCCGCACTTCGATCGGGAGCGCGCCCACCCCCGTCTGCCGCACCACGTCCTCCAGCGCCTCCAGCGCCTCCTTCAGCGCCCCCATGTCCGCTGCACAACAAGAGTCGTGCCCTATAACGCACGCGCGAGCAGCATGGCCACTCACCTGCCGTCTGGAGGGGGTTCGTACCGGGGTGGTACGCGTTCTCGCTGCGCAGGCGTTAGCTGTCCAGGGACGTGTATTCGAGAGACAGCGCACTCACATGCCTGCGAGCGCCGACCGCGCGAGCGACTGCACTCGCAGGACGTGGTGGTGCGCCAGCTGCATGTTCTGCTTCAGCGTCTCGCCCGAGTTTGGCTCGTCGCTCAGTCCCCCGCCGCCCTGCAGAAACGGCCCGCCGAACGTCCCGTTGCTGCCGTCTGCATCCCCGTAGTTCAGCCCTTGCAGACTAGAAAGCGGTCCATAGCCTGCCTGATAGGGGATGGACGTGGAAAGCATTGTATCGTAGATGGATGTGGCAAAACTACTCGTTTGGACGCGTTATGGCCAACGCCGGGGTCGAACCGGCGACCTTGGCGTAACATAGATATTAGCACCACGCTCTAACCAACTGAGCTAGCCGGCCATACACCGGCTCTTCGCTCCGACCGACCACATTGCCGGTCCATGTCGCAGGACCGTGAACGACGTATATTTATCAGCATACCGAACAGTGAATATTTACTGCCTCACGAGAGGCTCAGCAGGAACACACGGTCCTCCCGAACCAGGAACAGCAACAGAAACTTGTGTCCGTCCGCCTTGCGCCGCACGACCGCGTCCCGCACCTGGTGCGCGTACGCAGCGTGCTGCGGCGGGAACGCCGCCGAGATCGCCTTCCACGCGTCCTCGTCCGCCACCCACCCCGCGTTCTTCGTCATCGCCTCGAACACCGCGCACGACACGTCCACCGCGAGCGTCGGCAGCCCCGCCGCCACCGCGTCCTTGAGCTGCATGCTCGTGTCGAACGCTGCGCGCCGCCCATTGGTCAGCCGGGCACCGCCGCGACGCGCGCCTCACGTACCTCTGTCGAGGAACATCTGCTTCGTCTGCTTCCGCTGCTTCTTCGCGTCGCCCGGCAGGAGCACCTGCACGTCCGACGCGCTCGTCGTCTCCCGCGCCGCGCTCAGCCCTTCGGCGAGGACGGGGCTCCCCGAGACGGACGCGTCGATGCGCTTCTGCTCTGCGATCTGGTGCTGGAGGTACACCACGAGGTTCTGGCGCGACACTGCGCCAGACGCGTGAGCGGCCGTCCACGTGGAGCCGAGCCGAGCCCGGGGACGCACCTTCCTCCTCCGTGCCTCTCAGCACGCTCTTCACCTTGAAAGGGAGCTGGTCGCGCCGCGCCGACTTTGGCCGCGGGTACACGACGAATCTGGCGGGGAGCGCTGAGCCAAGGCGCAATGACAAGCAGATGACAGGAACCCACGGGATGCCCTCGCGCGCGCAAGCCTCGACAGGTGTCTCGTGCTCGGTGTCGGGCAGACTGGAGTCGTACATCACGTCCGCGCTGATGTTGTTCTGCCACAGCAGCGCGACGACCTCCAGGCGGTCTGCCAGGAGCCCCGGCTGGTAAGACACGACGTAGACGTCGCACCGGCGGGGAATCCAGAACCCAAACGAGCGTTGTTCCTTCAGGAGGATCTTCTGCGAGGCGCTCTGGAACGCCGCCAACGCTTGCGTGATCTTCTCCAGCGAGATCTGGACCGCGAAGGCACAGGTCGCCTCCCCCTTCGGCTTCGGAGCGGAGAATTTGGAGATGAGGTGGTCGTATCTGTACAATCAGTCAACGGAGGAGCACGCTGCGAGAGCACGCCGCTCACCGTCCGCCGATGGCGAGAACATCGGAGCGCTTGTTCCGCCGGACCACCTCGAAGCACACGCCGTCCTTGAAGTAGGCGCTCCGGTTCGACATCATGAGTGGGTCGAAGAAGATCGGCCGTGTGACACCGGAGACGGTGGCAAGCTGTATTGTGCTCTTCAACTCTTGCATTGGGTAGGCCAGCAGCGAGAATAGCGTCGGTGAGACCTTCTCCAATCGACCAAGAAGGCCATCGACATCGGTGTCTGGTGGAAAATGTGACACACGATTCTAGACTAGTCAACGGTATCAAACCAACCTATCTCCGCCAAGACCTCTAATTCGTCGACAAGGTTTCTCGGGATGCCCTTCCGAAGTAGCATCGACCGTTTCTGCGATTGAGAGGACTTCGTCTGCTTCAGGATGTCTATCACTGTAGCACGAAGATCTGCAGATATTCGTTCCAGCGCGATGTCGAGAACTGCCGCTGAGTGAGCACAAATGCGGTCTGTCTCATATCGGAGCTGCCACGCACTGTTCGTATGGGACACATGGATCTCGTAGCTTTGGGCGAGATTGGCAAACCGGTTGAAACAGTCGTTGACGATCAAGATAGTCTCAGCCGACGCTGCACTCGGTCCCGTCACGAGATCTGGCGTGATGATGTCGAAAACTGCTGCCTTGAATACCTTGGGGTGTCCACCGACCAGGCTGTATGAAGTACTCGTCAGCGCTCACGGTCATACACCAGAGCAAAGATCACAGACTCTGGTCGAAAGATGTCTCCGACATGGTATCGCTTGATCCTCCTCAGTTTGTCTCTGGCAGCTAAACGCGCGAATGGTACAAGGGCGTTATCTGGCAAAACGACCATTTCGCCATGTCGGTCAATGAACATCGCCCGCTCGCGGTCTTCCTCCTGATTCATAACTGGTAACAGAAGAGGTGGCTCCATCGCGATCGCACCATGTACATGAAAGATGTCTGCCAGGCGTTCAGATACTAGCCCGTTTAGAGTACGATGTTCTTGTTCTGGCAGCTCGGTATCGTGATCATAGACCAAGGCCCGCACAGGATTCGCGGGCTGGTTGAACAGAGTCGAGAGAACGGCCTGGAAATGAGGAGAATCTTGTTTGGCTGATGCTGACTGTCAGAACAGGTTGCCGTCGTCAAGCGGTCCCACATACTGATCATACGCAGAGCACCCTTGAAATATTCGTCTTCCATTCGCGGCGGGAGCAATGAGCTCTGTGACAACTCCAGTGCAGTCGGACGTTCATTTGGATCATGCTTCAACAGCCAGGAGATGACTAGAACTTCTTGTCAGTAACTGTCATCACCAAACGATCAATGCCCGTACTTTGTCGCTGCCGTGAGCGATGCGGTTCCCAATCAGCGGGGAAATAGACTCCAGGTTTCCTCAACCCCTCGAGAACAGCAATACGTTCTGCTCCGGTGGAGAAAAGATAGTTCATCTCGAAAAACACAATCTATCAAGCATTCAAGCGTCAGAAATCGTACAGTCGTATGTTGAACCTGGACCTACGCCTAGACTGTACATGTCCGCTTTCTGATGATTCCGAGGGCCACCCCTCGATTGCACTTCAGGAGCAATGTAGAGCCTCGTACCGACATCTGCGAAGCCAAGTCGTTGAGATAGGAAAACGTAAGACATTTCGGTACATGTACCTAGCGTCATCTCAGCGTCGTTGATAATCGTCTGCGTCAGGTCTGATGGATCCACGGCCGCAAGGCTTGAAGTCGCAAGGCCAAAATCACCGACTGTTCATAGTTGCTCAGTACCTAATGCGGACAGGGAATGAGTACAATTACCTTTGCAGTCTCCGTTGCCATCTACACAACGTGTTAGTACTCAAGACAGACGATTTCGGAATAAAACGGCACCGATGAAGATGTTCGTGAGTTTGATATCACGATGCAGCTGGAGACAATCACTGAGCACATCGTATGATCCCCAAGCGAGATGAGGACTCACAATCGTAAGGCTTGACATGTGCACAAGTGCATCCACGATCTGCTGGAATAGGCGCCATGCCTCGTCTTCCGTGATGCCTTCAGCAATCCGCTGTATGATTTTACTTGTGTATGATGTCCCAAGAGTGGCGAAAGAGAAGAGCGACAAACCTCTTTCAGAGTCTGGCGCTCTACAAATTCCTACATATAACTATCAGCAAATGTCGCATGACGCAGGACGTCGGCACAAAGTTCACCATCTGTATATATAACGTCCGAGAGTCTGTTCGCGGGGCTGATCGAGGAGCCGTCAAGGGCGACAACTGGTTGTTACCATTGCCATTCTTGGGAAATACATCGTCATATGCCTCCTCACTACTGTCTGTCGTGTTATCGCTTGCATCGGGCGAACTAGACCGCGTGAAATGGATACTCGGGAATGAATGTCTGCTGCCAGACCCTAGATCGTCCAGGTCAATCATGAACGGATCAGGAGACCCTTCTTGCGACCTGGAGTGTGGTACTGAAGTCATCCCGTCAGCGGTCTCCGAGTCTGAATCGGTCGAAGCGGCTGTGGATGCTGGCTCCGAGGTTTCCACCCATGTAGTGTAATACCGGACTATGAATCTGTGATTCAAGCGACTTAACGCATTCACCTCTCGGAAGATCCTGCTGTCGCTTTGAGTGGCCCGAAGCTTGATCTTCTTGACTGCAACGATAAAAGTCAACATGTGAGCTGTATCGGAAGGCGTTCAACATAAGTACCTGCATAGATCCTTGAGTCAATCTTGTTCCTGGCCTTCACAACGGAACCGTAGGCACCTCGACCCTACAGACAATTACAACGCGGAGCATCTAGACATGCAAGGTCACCTACCAACAGTTCCAACTCTTCCCAATCTTCTTTCCACCTGCTAGAGTACTTCGGTCTCGGTTGGGGAGGAGTAAAGTAATCGACTTCTGGCGAGCCGACGTAACCACTGGGCATAGGTGTCTTCGGGCCAGGAGTCCTGTTGGAAGCTGTACTTTGTTGGCACACGAGCAGCGAGAACTGGGCTACAACACTCATACCTGACATCATGATCGATTGAGAACGCGAACTGGTCGTGTCGGAGTTGCCCGCTATCTCTGCAAGAAGGCCGATGCATGAGACTGGGCATTTCTTGCTCGGGATTAGCATAGTCATTGTCTGCTGCTGCAATTTGGGGGATATGGTAGCTTTAGGCGATGCGCGGTCTTAGTATAATTGAAAGTCGAGTCCTATGAAACACGCACAATTGCGAAGAGCTGTGTGCGCATCTGTAAACCGTTCCATTACGTCCCGACCCATGAGCATTTGGATGAGCACGATCCCAACAGCATGAATGTCGCGACTCCTAGTATACAGTAGAGGAGAATCAACCGCGTCGTTGGGGAGCCTGTATTGAGTGATTAGAAAGGTTGTTGTCCACAGGGCGACTCGGACGTACCAGCCCTCGGGAATTGTCGTCTCTTCGATCTTAGGGTCGATATTGAACCCGAAGGGATTCGAACGATGCAGATCGAGTAGGCGAACGTGGTACCCAACCTTGTAGATCTTCACTACCTTAGACGACCCTCCTTCTTCGCGTGGGGCGAGACCGATGCATCTCGTGTTCAGCCCTAGATCGCGATCATGTCAGCGGGAACGAGGAATTTGCGATAACTTATGACAATACCTCGATGGATCAGATCATGGGCGTGTATGACGCTGAGACCAGTGAGGATTTGAGCTAGATAATCCTGATATCCACACTTAACAATAGGCTCTGCTTTGCGTGATATGATTTACT